GGGGGGGGGGGGGGGGGGGGGGGGGGGGGGGGGGGGGGCGCCAATATTACCTGATTTTTAAGATTGTCTTTAATTTTACCTGAAAATAGTTTTCTTTCGATCGTATATCTACACCTCATCCAATCTACATAATGTGTGGAGTCCATTTTGCATTCAAATGTAAAATAATAATTTTAATTGACTTCCTAAATTGCAATATTTATTACTTCACCTTTGAAGCTATTAATTTTACATTTTGTCCATACAAGGGGCAGATCGTATAAAACTCTTAATCACTTTTTAATCACTATTTTGTAGTTAAATAGTGATTAACTCTCAAATACGCGTTTCTTATTGGATGACGTTTGCGGCTTAATTATAGTTAACTTTAATCACTTTTTTATACAACCGGCCCCAGATATAGATGTTCCATTATAATAAATATTAATTCTTAAATATACACTGTGTGTTGCAAGCATTCAATGCAGAATCAGAAATGTATTGCATGTTATTTGTATGTTTACTAACAACTAGCGAGCATTTTTTTCTTGTGATATTGATGATTAAATATAATAATATTACGGAATATGTACTGTATGTTAATAATATTATGCAAATAATGGAATTATTTGCATAAACTAGTGGGCAATTTTTTGCTCCTGTCTGTTTAACATAGACCACTTTAATTATTGCAAGTTTCTTTAGATCAATTCGGTCGATCAATTCCCTTTCTACCGCAAGCAACATGCAATCTTCAAGCGATCTCCTGACATACAAAGATAGTTCTTGACTCTCTTCAATGCACAGAACGATCGTTAATTCTTGCAAAACGATGTTGCAGCTGTGAGGAAAAGCTGATAAACTTTGGCGACCGTTTTAAATATAAATCATGCTTTCTTAGTTTACAACAACTAAGTCTGTTACAGACTGAACAAGAACGTAACCCAAGTTCTTAAGTTGAGAAGATTTTGAAATTGTTCGTGTTGCAACACTGCAGTTCAATAAAATAGTCAAAAGTATTAGGACGCCATTCATTTCCAACACATGAAGATCTGGTTATTAATAGCAAACTCGTCCGTAGAACTGATTAATGTTTTAAAAGTCGTATCTGTTGTTGCATTGAGGGTCATTTCTCATTTCCCTTTGATTCTTTTAGTTTACTTCTCGTTACAAAAAACTGGAACATTGAAACCTCCCACTTCAATGTAATTAATATACGTTTATTTTTTATCAGTGAAATTGAAGCAATTTGATTGGCTCAGAGCGGGCCGGTTTTTTGCATCCGGCCTGCTCAGAAACGCAACTGCCCGCTGTGAAATGCAACTGCCCGCTCTGGTTTTCGCGCCAAAAACCGAGGAGTGAAACAAATTTTAAACGAAAAAATCTGCAAAAAACGTTTGAAAAACATAGCCTAACGATAGTCAGAATACGAAAATGAATTGCACCAAGCCCCAAAGACTTCATACTAAGCACGATGTTCACCAGAATTGACAATATTTTGATAGAAATGCGACTGAAAGTCGGAAAGTTATTTGACATGTATAAAACTTACGTCGAGAAACTATATATTATTTAAATGCTCATGTGTTCGGCCACTTAAAAGCGAAAAAATTACAGCTAAACAGATATTGTAAAATAACTGTTTTCCCAATTAAAAGAAGGTTTAACTACAGCAGTGAAAACAAGTCACGAATATATTCTTTACCCATTTGTGTCATGCATTTTTCACTGATATAAATATTGTAAACAAAGTAAAAGTTTGTGTAAACACTTTTTTCAAGCATATTATCGTGAAACGACAGGAAAAAATACAAAAATATAAAAATAACATACCTTTTTCATCACCTTTTAGTAGAAAATCAAAACAGATTCATTTTTATATGTTTTTGATCGGATCTGAACATGAACCTGTCGTTGTCACGAGCAACTGATTTTGTCAAAGCCAAAGCCAAAATAAAGGCCAGGCATAAAAATTTTTATTCCAAAACTTCTGTGCTACCATATTCATGAAAAAAGCATGTACATTCTTACTGAAACTATACGTCTTTTTGTGTGTTTCTTCTCAGTTTTCTCGAGGTTTCGTATTCGTGTTTTATATCTTTCAACTTTTCAATTTTTGTCAGCCTCGCTTTGAAATGAAAATACACAACTGCACTGATCTCAAATTAGTTCGCAAGCAACACTGGAATTTTAATGAATTTAATTTTTACATCTGATAAAAATAAACACGTTATTTACCGACAGCGTCGGTCCGGATGAGAAAAACTGTGCCCTCGGTCTTGAAAACGTCCTTCGCCCTTCGGGCTCGGGCCGTTTTCAAGACCTCGGGCACAGTTTTTCTCATCCGGACCTCGCAGCCGGTAAATAACATATATATATGTAATTAAGTAAAAGCATGCATGCATGCATGTCACTTTTATGTTCTTCTTTTGCACGTTTAAGTGGACTTTTTGTTCTATAGAACCTTGTGTGTAATATCGTGAACCTGCTTCATGGCTATTTTAGATATTTAAAAAAACTCAATCATATCTTTGAAACATGCTCCATTAAGCAAGTTTATACATGTCATAGCATTATAAACTTAAGTTAATGAAACAAGCGTTAGGACAAGAGTGAAGTTGTGCAAAGTCTCCTGGAGTACAAAGGTCTGGTACAAAGGTCAATCTGTGAATCATGTGATCATACACGTGCAAAGCGGAAGGCTGAATTAACAACAAACCATTGTCAAATCTCTTCCCATGTGTACGGGAAAATAGACCAATCAGGTTTCACCTCTTCGTCTGCATAGTTTCCTGCTTGGATCAGTAAGCCTCATTGTGTCACTTGCAAGCAAAATTGTATGACCTCTGCGGCAAAGTACTTCGAAATTAACACCCATCCCACCCTTTTGAGGATTTTGCACCACTATATCATAACTCGTATCACATAATAAATAAAAATCTGTAAATATTGTTTTGATATGCAATCCGTCATCAAGATTCGCATGAAATGTAATTCATGTAGTGTTATAGATAAAATATTATGGAGTAGTTACTGGTTAATATGTTATTACAGGCACATCTATATTTTGTAATATACAGTATTGGAATTGGCTTTGCAAGTCTGGTTGTAAAATAAAAATATTTGGTTGTTTGGGGATGGAGTGCTCCCAAAGGTCACCCTCAACCCCAAAGACTGGACACAAATC